GCTCCCCCACCCCCACCCCCACACCGGTTCCGCTCCGGCTCCAGCCCGCTCTCAGATTGCCGGTTCTCCCTGCAGCCGCCCCTGGTCCAGGCCATCTTTAGCCGAGATGTGGAGGAAGTGCGTTCCCTACTCTCGCAGAAGGAGAACATCAATGTGCTGGTGAGTTGGGAGCAGGGAGGATGGCGAGACCGGAATCCTGGCTCCCGTGTTCTGGACCCCTCCCCACCGGTGGGGCGGCTCCGTGTCTCCTCTGCTCAGATGAGGCCGCAGTTCTTTCCATCCTGGAGTGAAAGCCTACTCTGCATTTGGGGATGGAGAGCAGGTCAGGCTTGCAGCCCAGATCACTTGGGCTGGGGATGCCCAGGAACGTTGTTCTCTTCTGAACCTCCGGAGTCTGCAGCGCCCCCACCCCTCCTGGAAAAAGGAGCCGGCTTCTCAGCCCATTGGCCCTGACTCCACCCTCCCTAGGTGCTTGCCTTTGACTCCCAGTACTGGGACTTAGGACCCTGCAGAAACTATGGGAAGAGGTTGTGGGGAAGTGCCTGGAGCTCTGAGGCTTGGGCTGGGGTGCTTCATAGCCCCCTCACCCCGCGCCCACAGTCCCTCCTCTTTTTTGCCTTCCTAGGACCAAGAGAGGCGAACTCCATTGCATGCTGCTGCCTACGTAGGCGATGTCCCCATCCTCCAGTTGCTACTGATGTCAGGTGAAAGTGGGGAGCTGGAAGGTGTGGCACATAGGGAGGGAAGGAAGGGGAGGAGTCTTTTTTGATATTCAAGGATTGCTCTCCCGGGCTTGGTCCAGGCAAGGCTCCAGCTCCATTCAGATTTCCTGGCCTGATTACTGGCTTCCTTCATACCCCCTCCTCACCTTCCATCAAAATAGGAAATTATATCCCCACAGGTGCTAATGTCAATGCTAAGGACACACTGTGGCTGACCCCTCTTCATCGTGCTGCTGCCTCCCGAAACGAGGTATGCGCCCCCACCTTCTTTTACCCTTTCAGAAAGGATGAGTTGCTTAAAGGTGGAAGTTAAGGGTCAAGGAACCTCAGTCCTCAGCCCTACAAGCTGTTCTACCCCAGGTAGTGAGGAGATCAAATCTTGGCCCCTCCCTCCTACCCCTAGAACTGGCTGGTAAGGGGGCTGAGTGCTGCCAGCTGATGTGACTCAGGGAGAGCTTAACACTGGGCTGGCAGACTGCGGGGGCCCTGCTGCCAGGCCTGAGTGACTCATCCCTCCCTGGGGGGCCACCTTAAGTCTGATCCCCCTCTGGGCACTGAGATTTCTTTCCTTGTGATGGGGGATGGGTATAGTAATCTGTTGCATCCTTGGCCCTCAAGTAGCTTGAAAGTTGACAGCACAGGGGCCAAACATATTTCATCAGTTGGGTCCTTTGCCCTATTCCCATCAGCCCTGCAGACAGGGAAAGGGGGACCTCCTCCTCAGTTCATCACTTCCCTGGCTCCAGCTACCAGGGGGAGGGGCCGAGGCCAGTGGGAATGAGGTAGGTGGTGGTTAGGAGGGGCATGTTAGCTCGGGTTTTGCAAAGGAACCGGTATCTGTTTGCTTACTGAGATACTGAATATAATTTTGGTGCCTATGAGAAGGCTAAAGAGGGTGTTCAGGGCAAGGTGCAGCAAGAGCATTTAGTTTTCCTAGAAGTGGTGGGGGGTTGGGATGTGTGGATCTCCATGTGTAGATTTGTTTGGGAATGGATGTATGTGTGAGTGAAGATTTTCATGGTCTAAGTTGGCGAGTCAGGTGGCTTGAAGAAGAGCAAAGGGTCCTTGTTTTACTCAGCAAGGTAAGGAAGAGCTCCAGTTCTAAGAAGATCCAGAAGATGGGAAGTAGGTATTGAGAGGCTAGGGATGTTGGAAAAATGAGAAGAGACTCTGTGCTGGGGAAGACGGGGCGGTAGATGCTCTGCTGACCTATTCCTCCTTCCATTTCCTGTTGTTTTACCTCCCGCTCCTACTCTCTCTTTTGTCCCCTGCCCCTCAACAGAAGGTGCTGGGGCTGCTGCTGGCACATTCAGCAGATGTGAATGCCCGGGACAAGCTGTGGCAGACACCACTGCATGTGGCTGCTGCCAACCGGGCCACCAAGTGTGCTGAGGCTCTGGCACCCCTGTTGAGCAGCCTCAACGTGGCTGACAGGAGCGGGCGCAGTGCTCTGCACCATGCAGTGCATAGTGGGCATCTTGAGGTGAGGACTGTTCCCATCCAGGCCCAGCTGGGGGCTTTCCCTTTTCTTACCTTCCTACTCACCTTTCCCTGCTTCTGGGCCTTCAAGCCTGAAGGAGAAGCAGCCCAGATGGCTATATAAACACTAAAACTCAAGCGCTAAATGAATGGTTAGACTAGATTAAAATTCTTAACTTGGACTTCAGGAGGTTGATAAAACCTTGGATTTTGCTTAGAAAACATCTAAGCAAAATTTTTGCTTACACGCCTTTCTGAAGAGAGTCCGTGTCTTTCAGCACATTTGCAAAGACAAGAGTTTAAGAACCACCAAATCACCTGAAGAGACTCCCTTGTTTCCCTCAAAGTTCCAAATCTCTCCAGTATCTCCTCCTTAGTGCCTGCTTCTGCTGTTCCCTCAAGTCCTCCAGGTTGTTTTGCTCATGGAAAAAGGCATTAGGCTGCCTCAGCCTTTTCAGGAGATGAGGCCTCTGCTCTTAGGTAGGTTGAGGGCACGAATCTGGCTCTGAACAGGTGTCTTTCATATCCTGATACAGACGGTGAACCTGCTCCTCAACAAGGGAGCCAGCCTGAATGTCTGTGACAAAAAGGAGCGGCAGCCTCTACACTGGGCAGCTTTTCTAGGTGAGAGATAATACACGGGAAAATCAGAAATTTAACATTTAGGATTCCTAGAGCAGGGATATGGGGTTGCAGCCTTTGAAGAGAGGAGTGCCGGGCCTTAGAGTTTATCTTCTACTTGCTTTAGAGTGTCTTCTCTTTTCTCAGGGCACTTGGAGGTCCTGAAACTGCTGGTGGCACGGGGAGCAGACCTCGGCTGCAAGGACCGCAAGGGCTATGGGCTGCTCCATACAGCTGCTGCCAGTGGCCAGATTGAAGTGGTGAAGTACCTGCTTCGGATGGGAGCGGAGGTCAGGGCTTTGAGCTCTGGGGTTGGGGACTATGGTCAGTGAGTAGGAGATTATAGAGTCTGTTATGGAGATATGAGATATTGGGTTGTTGGTGTAGTTTTGGGAGGTTGGAAGGGCGTGGTAGAGAGGGTCTGAATAATGCTTACCTTAGCCATAGTACCCTGAGTACCTTAGTACCTTGGGTCAGAAACCCCAGAGGAACTGAGGCAGTCATTGGATTTCTGGGATCTGTAGGCTACATGTGCTGGCTTCTACTTTGTTTAAACTGATACCGCCTTACTCTCACTGCTGAATATCCAGATCGATGAGCCCAACGCTTTTGGAAACACAGCTTTGCACATCGCCTGCTACCTGGGCCAGGATGCTGTGGCTATTGAGCTGGTGAATGCCGGAGCCAATGTCAACCAGCCGAATGACAAGGGCTTCACACCACTGCATGTGGCTGCAGTCTCCACCAATGGCGCTCTCTGCTTGGAGCTATTGGTTAATAATGGGGCTGACGTCAACTACCAGGTGCCTGAAGGGATAAGGCTTAGACCAGTGGGGAGCGAAACCTGGCTCTAGGGGTCCTGACTGTATCTGGATAACTCTCGTGGAATTATCCACTTGCTTCCTGGGGTAATCAGACCTTGCCAGGGACTCAGGAGAGAGTGGGCTAAGAAGGTGCCATATGACCCTTTTGTCCTTAGAGATATGTCCTTGGAAGGAGATAGGGCATTCTCTGTGCTTTGCACTGGAAAAAAACAAAAACAAAAACCCACCATGTTTCCACAGAGCAAAGAAGGGAAAAGTCCTCTGCACATGGCTGCAATCCATGGCCGTTTCACACGCTCCCAGATCCTCATCCAGAATGGTATGGACCTGGGAGACTTTGTGCTCTCATCCCTTCCTCCCCCAAGGAACTCATTTCTAGAATCTCCCTAACTTCCTTCTCCTACCCTCTTCCAGTAGGATAGGCCCTTGGAACTCTGACCAAGGGACCTGTGGAAATGGCCCTGCTCTGCCCTGCTCTGTCTCCTAAGGCCTAGAAACAGGATAAAACATGTAGAATCCTGGGCCTGGCACCTGATGCATAGTAGGCACTCAAATCGTGGCTAGCTCGCGAGAGTGGTCTTAAGCCTGAGGTCCGCCTGAGCTTGTGTGTGTGTATCCCCTCACAGGCAGTGAGATTGATTGTGCCGACAAATTTGGGAACACGCCACTGCATGTGGCTGCTCGCTACGGACACGAGCTGCTCATCAGCACCCTCATGACCAATGGCGCAGATACCGCCCGGTGAGTCAGGGCCCTGACTCCACTTCTGGGCTGCCCAGATCTGCATAGACTGCTCACATCAACCATGGAGTCACAGAGAAGCTTGCCAAAGGGCACCTTGGAGAACCTCCTTCCCTGACTCTAGGGTAGTGGTGGGTCAAAGAAGAGGTCTTACTTGGTCCCTCCTTGACCCAAGGACTGAGTTCCTCAACTTGTCTCTAGGCGTGGCATCCATGACATGTTCCCCCTGCACTTAGCTGTTCTCTTTGGATTCTCTGACTGTTGTCGTAAGCTTCTTTCCTCAGGTATGTGCTGATGGGCTGGGGATTGGCAGGTGTAGAGGGGAGCAAAGGCCTTTCCCTCCCTGCTGAACACTCTCAGATGTGACCTGTGGCTGTTCTGTGCCTCCAGGTCAGTTGTACAGCATTGTGTCTTCACTCAGCAACGAGCATGTGCTTTCAGCTGGGTTTGACATCAATACACCTGACAACCTTGGCCGTACCTGTCTTCATGCTGCTGCTTCTGGAGGGTGAGTTTTTCTTTCTCCCATCCTTTGAGCAGGGAGCTGGGCAAAGGTCTGGGCCTGTCATTCTTGCCTGCCTAGATCTATTCCCCCTCTCACAATGAGAGCAGTCACAGCAGAAAGGGCTTGCTAGTTCCATCCCTCCTTAGCCCCACCCTGGGCCTGTGGCTTCCCTTTGAGGCTGTAACTCTCTTAACACATCTTTCTTTTAGGAATGTTGAATGTCTTAATTTGCTGTTGAGCAGTGGAGCTGACTTAAGGAGGAGGGACAAATTTGGCAGGTATGCTGATATGCAGGGGTAAACATAGGGAATGTCTGATTAGAGAAACATGGTAGAGGGAGGAAGGGTTGAGATTGGAGAGTTAAATAAGGAGAATGTTATGAAGCAGCATTTAGCTGCACATCTGATTACATTCGGATCTGTCTCTGATTCTCTTCCCCACCCTCCTTCACTTCTTCCCCAGGACACCACTGCACTATGCAGCTGCTAACGGTAGCTACCAGTGTGCAGTAACATTGGTAACTGCTGGGGCAGGTGTCAACGAGGCCGACTGTAAAGGCTGCTCTCCCCTCCACTACGCTGCCGCTTCCGACACTTACAGGAGGTGAGGCTACCAGTCTGGTCCTTCTCAGTCCCATTCACCTCCCTAAGCCTGGCCCTGACTTTCTCTCTCTCCTCCCCAGAGCGGAACCCCACACACCTTCCAGCCATGATGCCGAAGAGGACGAGCCACTGAAGGAGTCCCGCAGGAAGGAGGCCTTCTTGTGAGTAGCAGAGAGGGCCCCTGGGATGTGCTTTCCCACCCATGCAAGCTCTGGCCCTGCTGTCCTCCTACCTACTCTGAACCTCCACCCTACACTGCTGCTGTACTGCTGGTCAGCCAGCAGTGTGTCTTGAGCTCTCTGGGTTTAGTCCATAGTGGGCAAAGACAAAAAGTATGAGATTGAAACTTCGGAGCTTCAGGGAAAAAAAACCCAGAAGTATGAGACACAGTTCCTTCCCTAAAGGAACAAAATGGATTTTTTTTTTTTTTTTTTTTTTTTTTTTTT